CTCAAGTGGTAGAGCGCTCGCCTTGAGCTGAAGAGCTGAGGGACAGCGCCCAGGCCCAGAGTTAAGCCCCATGACCAACCAAAAAAAAAAAATATAAGAAAATATATTGATTTAAATCAATGTAGACAAATCTCCAATATTAGAAGGAAGCAATATGATAGAATAATATGTACTGTATGAAGCTATTACATAAATTTAAATACTGTATTGTTTAGACCATGTTTGGCAGGTATTTTGCTTTTGTTTTTGTTTTTTTTATAAAACCCTAGATAGTAGATACTTGGCTTTGGGAGGTAAAAGACAACATTAGAGACAGATATATAACAAGAGAGAAAAACAGTTTCTATATTATTTTTTATTGTTGATATTCAAAATAATTGGATACAATTTTTTTGTAGTACAAGATCCAATGGGAAGAGTGGAACTTAATTTGAGGAGTGAAGGGGTAGTATAATAGTTTCATTAAGTTATAACAATGTATCACAAACTGGTAGCTTAAAATGAATTTATTAACTGGACACTGGTGGCTCAAACCTGTAACCCTCCTGTAGCTTCAGGAGGCTGAGATATGAGTATTGTGCCAGCCAGGGCAGAAAAATCTGTGAGACACTTGTATCTCCAATGAAGCACTAAAAAAAGCCATAAGTGGAGCTGTGGCTCAAGTGGTAGAGCACTAGCCTTGAACAAAAAAGCTCAAGGACTAAAACCCGAGTTCAAATCCCAGGACTGGCACAAAAACAAAACAAAAATAAGATAAAATAAAACTAAATTAAAATAAATGTATTCTCTCATGGGTCTGGGAGCTAGAAATTATGATGTTTGCAGGACTCTGCTTCTTTTAAAAATCCTGGGTCCTAAATTGGGCACCGTTGGCTCACACCTATAATTCTAGCTACTCAGGAGGCTGAGATCTGAGGACTGCAGTTCAAAGGCAGCCTGGGCAGGAGAGTCTGTGAGACTCTTAGTTCCAATTAACCAGTAGAAAACCAGAAGTGGCACTATGTTTCAGGTGGTAGAGTGTTCCCCTTGAGCTGAAGAGCTCAGGGACAGTGCCCAGGCCCAAACTTCAAGCCCCACGACTCGGAAAAAAAAAAAAATCCTGAGTCCTGTCTTCTTCCTAGTTTCTGGATGTTAACAATCATTGGTATTCTTTGGCTAGGATCTGCATCACATGGTGTTGATGACATGAAAGCTATGGCTGTTCTTACTCTTCTTGTAAGGACACTAGTAATAAGGCTTTAAAGGCCTACTCTTCTCCAATGCTAGTTTTATCTGTAGCAACTGTTTCCAAATAAGGTCATATTCTAAGGTACTGGAGTTTTGAACTTCATCTTTTTTTGGTGGTGGTAGGGAGATACATTCTAGTAATAGCAGGAAGATGATATTTCACTTAATTGAGGTTCAGTATTGTGTTCTGTATCATCAAATTGATCACAGTGTTCAACTGTAACAATTATTCTTTGCTGGGCACCAGTGGCTCACTCAGTAATCCTCGCTACTCAGGAGGCTGAGATTTGAGGATCATGGTTCAAAGCCAGCCTGGACAGGAAAGTCTGTGGAACCAGAAAGTGGAGCTATAGCAAAAAAACCCCTCAGGGACAGCACCCAGGCCCTGAGTTCAAGCCCCACAACTAACAACAACAACAACAAAAATATTCTTTGCTTATGACCATACCCACAAAGGTAGTGAATTGTATTTGGTCTGTGGACCATGGCTTGCTGCTGACCTTTGGTTTATACATAGATAGATAAGTATTAGGAATAATTTTTAAAATCACAAGAAATGAGTAATAGTATTTTAGGTAGTTGTTATTTTGCAGAATGTCCCCATTACAGTTATGGAGGAATAGACAGATAGCTTCTGGGGTATTGGTAATTTTCTTAACTTGAATAATAATTACACCATTTCCATTTTTATTTTGTCTTTTAATCTTTAAACATTCCTTTTACATACTTACGATATGTTTGCTATTTTTACCAAGAATAATTCTCTCCCTTCTTATGTCTCCTTTCCTTTCTTCTTCTCCTTCTCTTCCTCCATATTGTTCTTCTCCTTCTCTCTCTCTCTCTCTCTCTCTTTTTTTGTCAGTCATGGGGTTTGAACTCTGGGCTTGAGTGCTGTCCCTCAGCTCTTCAGCTCAAGACTAGCGCTCTACCACTTGAGCCACAGCACCACTTTCCAGTTTTTCTGGTGGTTTATTGGAGATAAGAGTTTATGGCCTTTCCCACCCAGGCTGGCTTTGAACAGGACCTCAGTGATCTCAGCCTCCTGAGTAGCTAGTATTACAGGTATGAGCCACTGGCACCCGGCCTTCTCCTTCTCTTTGTGTAGGTGTACAAGTTATTGGTGCTTGAACTCAGGCCCTCATGGCCTTACTGGGCTCTTTTGTTCAAGGTTGGTGTTCTGCTACATGAGCCACCTTTCCACTTCTTGCTTTTTGCTGGTTAAATGGGATAATAGTCTCAAGAGCTTTTCTTCCTAGGATGGCTTTGAATCATAGTCCTCAGATTTCAGCCTCCTGAGTAGCTAGGATTATAGATGTGAACCACTAGTGTTTGGCTTGCTCCTTCCTTCCTTCCTTCCTTCCTTCCTTCCTTCCTTCCTTCCTTCCTTCCTTCCTTCTTCCTCCTTCTCCTCCTTTATAGCATAAATTTAACTTTAATAATTATGTACTATAAATGTAAACACGATTTAATACTTGTATTAAAAGTCTGTGTGCAGTCAATATTATTCAAAATTTGTAAGTTTTCTTTCCATGTTTGTCTTTTCTGGATGTCTTATCATCAAATCTTCTTGTATCTCAAGAACTAGAGCAAGCATTTTTTCTGTGAATGGGCATCCTCATTCAAGATGTGGTTATGACATCTGTATCTCCGTCATTCATTATCCAGGAAGCTGGTATTGTTGTCAAGTTTACAACAAATAAGTTTCTGCTCACCAGCCTCTCAGATATTCCTGGATTTCCTAATGCATCTTGAATTCTCTACATGACTGATCTTTCCTTTCTTTTTATAAAGATGATTATTCCCTCATTTAAAATTAATTCTCCTTTCACCTCTTTTGTTCTATATCAGGCATGTAATCCTCTAGCCCTGGAAGAGCCTTCTGTTCTTGTGTTTACAAGCCTGTCACCTCTTTTCTCTTTTTCATGGTCAATTTTGCTTGCTTTTCTTTGCTTGTAGAAAGCAAACAAGAAAGTGTATTTCCCTCTGCTTTTATTTTAGATATTCCCTTCTCACCTAACAATTGAGTAAGCAGCAAGTTTAAAGTTAATATGGAAGGATGTAAAGACTGAAGTAGGCCTAGAGATTTATTAGAGATTATTTCTAGTCCATCTCACTTTTATTTGTTTAATAGCTTTCCTGAGGTGTAATTGTATATGGAGTAATCCACCTGTTTAATATAGCTAAACACTGTTTTATTCACTAAAATTAGCATTGCAATTGATTTTTAAAACCTCCTCCTCATTCCCCAAAGAAACTCCTCACTCCTCAGCTGTGAATCCCCAATCCCTTCCACTCCCAATTATAGGCAGCCACTGCCTCTCCTGTGTATGTTATAAATGGAAGCCTGTTTTATGTGATCCTTTGTGCTGCTTTCTGTCACTTTGCAATATGTGTTTGATTCATCCATAGTATAGCATGGATCAGTAGTTGTTTCTTTTTAACAGTGCTAATGAACAGTATTGCACATTGTGTTTATCTATTCATTAGTTAGTAGATACTTGGGGTTTTTTTCCACTCTCACTGCTATACCCATCCATTGAACAATTATTTGCTGTTAGATAATTTCTTTAATTGTTAAGTATTCATTGTTGAAAATTTGAAAAGTATAAAAGAATTAAAAGAATGCCATAAAATTTATGCCTAATTCTACCATTCAAAAATAAGGAGCTGGGTGTGGTGGTTCACATCTGTAATCTTAGCACTTGGGAAGCTGAAGCAGGAGGATCATGAGTTTGAAGACAGCCTGGGTTACATGGCAAAACCTTGTCTCCAAGAGGAAAAAAAGACAACCTTCCCCAAATTGGTTAATCCCTATTACATCCTGCCCCACCACATCCCCAACCCTGCTGGGGTCTGAACCCAAGAATCACACATGTGAGGGAAGCACTTTACCACTTAAACTATATGCCTAAGTCCTATTTTTATTTTGTTTTTGAGATAATGTCTCACTAACTTCCCAAGCTGGCCTCAAACTTCTGATCTTCCTACCTCTATCTCTATAGAGTAGTTAGGATTATAGATACATTAATACTTCTGTTGAAAAGAAAACTTGTTTATTTATTGTATTTAAGATTTATTTTTTTCATTTGAGCGGGTTTTGTTTGCCAGATCTCAGCAGACTGGCTAATTGGAATTGTCATAAATACTTTCTAAGTCTGTAGGTGGTAGTATAGTAGACTTATCAGTTGTCACACAGGCAGGGGAAAGGGTTTAGAAAAAAAAAATCTCACAGAGCAGGAAACATGTCTATTATGAAATGCACATGAGCTTTGGATATGCTGGCCAATAAATAAAACATTGACATTTCTAATAAGGTCATATTTGTTCTGTTGCAGGAAGCTCGCAGGATGTACAGTTTTTATCACGGGTGCCAGCCGTGGCATTGGCAAAGCTATTGCATTGAAAGCAGCAAAGGATGGAGCAAATATTGTTATTGCTGCAAAGACCACCCAGTCCCACCCCAAACTCCCAGGCACAATCTATACTGCTGCTGAAGAAAGTAAGTATGACAGGTACCATTTCATGAGATGCTGTCACACAGAGCTAATCTGCTAGAGAGTTGAGTTTATGCTATTTGAAAGCTACCTTAAAAATAATTATATCTATTTCCAGAAGTATTTATCTTGTCACCCAAGAGCAGTGGTTTTGACCATTTTTCTCTTTTTAAAGCCATATGAGAGAGTCTAGTTCAAAATCATGTCTCTGGCCTGGGGGTATAACTTAACCTTGTTCAAGCCTTGAGTTCCATCCTTAGCTCTGCAAAATCAAAACAACATTCATCACCACAACAGCAGCAAAAAACTATGTCTCAGGAGAGATGGAGTGGAATTGGAGAGAAACAGTTTGAAGGAGGAATGCTGTGAACATTTCACAAAAGCTCTTTGTGTTATTCTCAGCACTTTGCAAGTCGTTTTCAGTTTTTGGTTGACTAATCTTTATCCTGAACTGTGTTCAACTCATTGTGTCCAGTGCAGTGCCAAGATGAAAGGCTTCAAAATTCAACTTCTGTTGATATTACTAGATGGTGTGTGTGTGTGTGTGTGTGTGCATGTGTGTGTGTGAGAGAGAGAGAGAGAGAAAAGGCCTTGTGTATATGAAACTGGGTTTGAAATGGCCTTAGACTTGTGATCTCTCTATCTCAGCCACCTAATTTCTGGGCTTGGCTTCCAGGTATGCACCACCATGCCTAGTGATGTTGCTAGTTTTGTTAGTCACATAAATTGCACACACTGTAGTGATGGCTGAGGATTGTACATGAACAGTTTGAGTGGAATGATATTGGGGGTACTTTATATTATTTTGTGTTGGTAGTAGTCCTTAAACTCACAGCCTTGTACTCTTGCTTGACTTTCTTTGGTAAGACAAGCACTCTACCACTTGAGTTACTGCTGTATTTCTGACTCTTTGCTGGTTAATTGGAGATAAGTTTCAGATTTGTCTGCCCAGGCTGGTTTCAAATCTCGATCCTCAGATCTCACCCTCCTGAGTAGCTAGGACTATAGGCAGGAGCTACCACCAAATGCTGGGGATTATTATTATTTTTTTTTTGCTGGTCTTGGGCCTGAACTCTGGGCCTGGGTGCTGTGCCTCAGCTCTTCAGCTCAAGGCTAGCGCTCTACCACTTGAGCCACTGCACCACTTCCAGCTTTTTCTGCTTATGTGGAGCTGAGGTATCGAACCCAGGGCCTCATGCATGCGAGGCAAGCACTCTACCACTGAGCCACCTTCCCAGCCCAGGGGGGATTATTTTAAAGTACAAACAAAAACTAAACAAGGGAGTAGGGGAAGGGGGAAGATGGGAAGGGATGGGAAGGGGAAACAAAGGAGGAGGCAACAATGCTTGATAAGAAATGTACTCATTATCTTGCGCATGTAATTGTAACCCCTCTGTATGGTATTTTCACAATTAAAATATATATATAAAAAGAATGAAATGAAAAAAAACAAAAAAACTAAACAAGTAGAAGGTAAACTGTCAAAAGATGATGGAGTAATAACAGAGCTTTAAGCTATTCTTTGTATTTTTGGCAAGTGTAATTTTAGTTTTTTTGTCAGTGGTGGGGCTTGAACTCTGGGTGTGGGTGCTATCCCTGAGCTCTTCAGCTCAAGGCCAGTGCTCTACCACATGAGCCACAGTGCTACTTCCAGTTTTCTGGTTTTCACGGCCTTTCCTGTCTGGGTTGGCTTTGAATGGCGATCCTCAGATCTCAGCCTCCTGAGTAGCTAGGATTATAGGCGTGAGGCACCAGCGCCCTGCAGTGTTTGTAACTTTTTTTTTTTTTTGGTTGGTTGTGGAGCTTGAACTCTGGGCCTGAGCACTGTCCCTCGGCTCTTCAGCTCAAGGCTAACACTCTACCACTTGAACCACAGCGCCATGTCCAGCTTTTTCTGTTTATGTGGTGCTGAGGAATAGAACCCAAAGCCTCATGCATAATAGGCAAGCACTCTACCAATGAGCTACCTTCCCAGCCCGGAGTGTCTGTAATACTTTGTAATAGAAAGTTTAAAATTTTTCTTTCTCTCTCTCTTTGTTTCTTAATAGATTTTTTTTTTTGGGGGTCCGGTCGTGGGGCTTGAACTCTGGGCCTGGGCGCTGTCCCTCAGCTCTTCAGCTCAAGGCTAGTGCTCTACCACTTGAGCCACAGCGCCACTTCTGGCTTTTTTCTTTTTGCTTATGTGGTGCTGAGGAATCGAACCCAGGGCCTCATGCATGCAAGGCAAGCACTCTACCACTGAGCCACCTTCCCAGCCCCTTCTTAATAGATTTTTAAAAATTCTTTGTCTTTTTCATTTTTTAGTAGAGTTGATCTAGCTGGCTAGAAGCTAGATATGGTTAGTCTGGACTATGAGATGGAGTTGTTATGAGATTTATTTATTGGTCCTGGTTTTCTGAAAATAAGACACATTTTGATTGCTGAATCAGAATGGAAGGTGCAATAATTCAATGCATCAATGCCTATTTGTTTGTTTCCCCTTTGTAGTCGAAGCAGTTGGAGGAAAGGCCTTGCCTTGTGTTGTTGATGTGAGGGATGAGCAACAAATCAACAATGCAGTGGAAAAAGCAGTCGAGAAATTTGGAGGTAGGATCATGATTCTGCAATAATTACTGAATATTGATAAAAAATAATAGTGATGACAAACCTAATAGGTGCCTGAAAGTGGAGAGCACTGAACTCTAGATAAGCTGATTTTTCCTATAAAGTTTAGTTTATAAATCAGATATGAGATTAGCAATAACTAGTAATAAAACAGCAATAATAATTTACTGTACTACTAAGTTATGTAACAGTAGTCTTTTCCTGAAGTGTGAGGTATATGATTTATCCAAGCACACTAGCACAAAAAGCTTGGATTTCTTTCTTCTTCCTCAGATTGTCACTTACAGAAGATTTGTTCTTACTGTAGGTCTTAGCAACTTCAGATAACTACAGTTTTCTTTCTTTATGATGAGAATTTTCATCTTTTCCCTTAGAGTATGATAGGATTGTCCATGCCATCTCTAAAATGCTGGTATTACTACTGTAGTACTTCAGGGCCATTATTAAATAAAATAATGTGATAACAGTGACAGTTGATGTGATTGATAATCAAGACCATTTCTAACTGATGAATGGGTGGGTAGGTGTAGAGCATGGATACACTACACAAAGGGATGGTTCAGGTCCTATGTGGGATGGAGTAGGATGGCGAGATTCCATCACATCACTAAGAATGATGTGTGTAATGTTTTTTTTTGTTAGTCATGGAGCCTGAACTCTGTGCGTGGGTGCTGTCCCTCAGCTCTTCAGCTCAAGGCTAGCGCTCTACCACATGAGTCACAGTGCCATTTCCAGCTTTTTCTACTTATGAGGTGCTGAGGAATCGAACCCAAGGCCTCATGCATGCAAGGCAAGCACTTTGCCACTGAACCACCTTCCCAGCCCCTGATATGTGTAATTTTTTTTGTGGGGTCCGGTCATGGGGCCTGAACTCTGGGCCTGGGCGCTGTCCCTCAGCTCTTCAGCTCAAGGCTAGCGCTCTACCACTTGAGCCACAGCGCCACTTCCGGCTTTTTGCTTATGTGGTGCTGAGGAATCGAACCCAGGGCCTCATGCATGCAAGGCAAGCACTCTACCACTGAGCCACCTTCCCAGCCCTGATATGTGTAATTTTAAGTTAAGGAATTATTTAATTCTGTAATTTTCCATTTAGTTATTTCAAACTGGTACTAGCTATGAATAACTGAAACAGTGGAAAATGAAATTCTGGATATAGAGACACCACTGAATAATTATAGATTTGTTTTGATTTTTTGGATTTTCTCTGAGTCCTGGGAGTATAACCAGAAGCAAGTAATTTACTAATCTGATGACTTTTTTTGTGTGGATAATATGACAAATCTACCACCCAAAATAAAGTTAGGACCTAATAGAAATCTCATATACTTGCCTCTCCCTGATTAATGTAAACATTATTTGGTGACTTTTTATATTTCTGGGATAAAATGTAGGTATCTTATTGGTATTCACCGTATTATATAATCTGGTATTAACAGATTTTTTTTCTTTTGGTTCCATCTTTTAAAAAAAAATCTCTACATTACTGCCTTCTTTTTTTTTGGGTCCGGTT